GATGACGGTGATTTGTCTTGCCAGGTTCCAGTGTTGTTAAGTGTTACTTTAAGAGAATGGATATTTAGGGCTTGGCAGCAGGGTAATGAACATGATAATTAGGGGATTCATCAGAATAAATCATCCTGCTCCTGATGGGAATGAGGGAGCTGCTGTTTGCTAAATCCAGGTGAAGACGCAGGAGCTGCAGATCTTGTTCTTGGAAGGGTGAAGTGAGGGAGGGTCCCAGCCGGGCAGACCAAGGGCAGGTTTTTTTTTGGACACCGTGCTGACCCCCCTGTCCCTTTCCTCAGAGGGAGATGGTGTACACCTCCAGGGAGTCATCTCCCACCCGCCGCCTGAACAACATGTCCCCAGCTTCCCACCTCACCTCCGGCTCCCCTCCACCAGTGCTCCAGTCCTCCTCCCCATCCCGCTCCCGCATGTCCTACAGCGGGGGCCGTCCCCCCTCCTACGCCGGCAGCCCCGTCCATCACAGCGAGCGTCTCTCCAACCTACCCCCAGCCCAGGGGGTCTCACCCAGCCCCAGCGCCATCCTGGAACGTCGGGATGTGAAACCAGATGAAGACCTGGCTGGGAAGAACGTGATGCTGGTGAAGAACGAGGGGCTGTACGCCGATCCCTACGGCATGGTGCACGAGGGTCGGCTCAGCATCACCTCCACCCAGTCCTTGGCTGGCATGGGAGACCCTTTTGGTTACTCGGGGGGGTTGTACAAGCGGGGTTCCGTTCGCTCACTCAGCACCTACTCGGCAGCCGCCTTGCAGACGGAGCTGGAGGACAGTCTGTACAAACCCAACGCCCCCATTTACAGCGACACCTACGCGCCCGGCTTGGGTTTCCGCATGCCCCCCTCCTCCCCACAGAAGATGGCTGATGGGCGGCTGGTGGATGTGCAGCCAGGGCAGAGCCCCCACAGCCCCTACTCGGGACCCCCCAGCCGTTCCTCACCCGTCCGGCAGTCCTTCCGCAAGGACTCCTGCTCCTCTGTCTTCATGGAGAGCCCCGTCAATAAGCCACGTAACCCCAGCTCCTCTGGTGCTCCAGAGCTGTTTCCTGGTCCTGGTGATCGCCCACTCTCAGGGTTTGGCTCCCCTGGACCAGCCAAGGACACGGAAACGAGGTGAGATGGGGCACAGGAGGAACCCCAACGTGGATACAAGATTCGCTGCTTGGGTGTTCATCCCTTGGTGCAGCTGGGGAGGTAGAGGAAGAGCAGAGGAAGGCTTTGCTCATCAGCACCGCGGCAGAGGTGTCAGGATGGATGATGAAGCACCAAATTATGCAGGGCTGAGGGGGGTGACTGGGGTATCTGGAGGCAAAAAGAGAGAGGGAATGAAAGGGGTGAAGAAGAGAGGGAATTTAGTGTGTCCAGAGAAGGGCAGCAGAGCTGGGGAAGGGTCTGGAGCACAAGTGTGCTGAGTTCCTGGCTGAGGGAACTGGGGGTGTTGAGCCTGGAGAAAAGGAGGCTGAGGGGAGACCTTGTGGCTCTGTCCAAGTCCCTTGGAGGAGGGTGGAGAGAGGTGGGGGTGGGTCTGTTCAAGCAAGGCCCAAGGGACAGGACAAGAGGAAATGGGCTCCAGTTGTGGCCAGGGCAGGTGAGATGGGATGTGAGGAAGAATTTCTTTGCTGAAAGGGTTCTGAGGCATTGGAAGGGGTTGCCCAGGGCAGAGGTGGAGTCCCCATCCCTGGGGAGCTTTAACCGATGGGTAGATGAGGTGCTTAGGGACATGGTTTAGAGGTGGAACTGGTAGTGTTGGGTTTATGGTTGGACTTGGTGATTTTAAAGATCTTTTCCAACCATTATGATTCTGTAATTCTGTGGGTGGATGGAGCTGGTGACAGCAGCGCTACCATCTCCCCAGTGTCCCTCCTGGGACTTGCAAGGACCCGGTGGGTGGGTGTGGGTGAGGCCAGGACAAGCTGGAGGGTGTCTGTGATGCCAGAGGCAGCTCCTCACCCAGCCCCTCTCCCTTCCCCATGGCAGGGAGCGGATGGAGGCGATGGAGAAGCAGATCGCCAGCCTGACGGGGCTGGTGCAGAGCGCGCTGCTCCGCGGCTCCGAGGCTGAGACCCCCAGGTAAGGAGCTGGAGGGTGTGTGTGGGACCCCAGGGCTGTTTACTGCCAAGGCTGGGGGCTTCTGCCCCCCTCCCAGGGGATGCCAGCCCCTATCGTGTCCCTGCAGCCACCTGAGTGGGTGAGGATGGAGATACCTGGTCCATGGTCACTCCCCTCCTCTCTCTCATTGCAGTGAGAAGACAGAAGCCACCAACGGTGGGACCCCCCCATCAGCGTGTAAGTGCCTGGAGAGTCAACCCCTCACCCCACAGCATCCCCTCCCTCTGCCCTGACGGCTGCTGGGGGTCCCAGGGTGGGCGCAGGAGTGGGGGCTCAGTGGTGACCAGTGTGACCCCCTGTCCTGCTGAGGGGCAGCTCCAGGGTGGCCTGTCCCAGCATGGGGGTAGTGGGTAAACCACCCAAAACTTCTGGATCGAAGCACAGGGTGGGGAAGAAAAGATCATTCCCAGGAAAGCAGCATCTGCAGCTTCCCCTAGGGTGGGGTATCTTCCCTCAGCAGCCTCTGCTTGTGTCCCCCCCCTGCAGCAACCAGCCGCAGTGGCATGGGGACACCAGTGCCTGCGCCCCCGCCACCCTCTGCCAGCAGCACGCCGGCCGGGCAGCCCACTGCCATCACCCGCTTGCACATGCAGCTGCATCTCCACGACCTGCAGCAGAACGCCAGCGACCTCCGCAACCAGCTGCAGCAGCTCAAGAAACTGCAGGTGGGTACAAGGAGGGGATCCCCCCAACCCAACCCAGCTCTTACTGGGGTGACTCCAGTTCTGGAGTGGGGAAAATGCCCCTTTTCTGGTGACTTTGCGTGGGGTTGGGTGTGGGAGAGTGTGGTGGTTTCATGTGGCTAACAGCCAAACACAACCACTCGCTCAGTCTCTCTCCACCCAGGGAATAGGGGAGAAAATTGGAAAGGTAAAAGTGAGAAAACTCATTATTTGAGATAAAAACTATTTACTAATTGAAATAAAATAATAATTAAAATAATAAGGATAATAAGAGTAATAATGAAATATTCAAATGAGCAATGCCCAGTACAATTGCTCACCATGTGCTGACCAATGCCCAGCCTGTCCCCAGCTGGTGATCCCAGGGCAGAGACAGTCCCCAAACCCAAACCGTGAGCTGAGTGATCCCCAAGACAATCCCCAGCTTTCTGGTCAACCCTGGTTGCTATATGGATATGGAATAGCTCATTGGCAGAGCCAAATCCCAATTTGGGTTTTGTTAATTACTACAGTTCCACCCCAGATCCTTTGCAAACTGGCAAAACATGAAGTCCTTGGACTTCCAGCAACAACTAAAAACATCAGTGTGTTATCAATGTTCTTCTCATAACAAATCCCACACTGAAACCAGCTAAGGAAAAAATTAACTCTATCCTAGCGAAACCAGGACAGAGAGTGAGGGGATCCCTCCCCACTCTGAGCTCAGAACTGTCCCCACAAGTGGCTACACTGGTCCCCATGGTGGGGCTCTTGCCCAACCTGAATCCCCCCCCCTCCTCATCCCTGCAGCTGCAGAACCAAGAGACGGTGAAGACGATGCTGCGACGGACGGAGACGGAGATCAGCGTGCGGGTGACGGACACCATGCGCAAGCACGAGGACCCTCTGCAGCGCCAGCGCACTTTGGTGGAAGAGGAGCGACTCCGGTACCTCAACGAGGAGGAGCTGATCACCCAGCAGCTCAAGTGAGCCAGGGCTGGGTGTATGAGTGGGGAGGGGGTCCTTGGATGCTGACCCCGATGGGTCACATCCTCCATGGTTGTAAATTAGCAGCTCATCGTGGTGCCAGGTCACATTCTTGACCACATCTCTAGCATCAGGAGGGGTCCCCAGCCCAGTTGTTCTCTCCCCTCTGCTGTGTGGGGCCCTGCCAGGCTAGTCACCCCTGGGACCCTCCAGCATCTCCCTGCCCTGCTTCTGTGCTCACAGTGACCTGGAGAAGTCAGTGGAGAAGATCCAGAAGGATTTGGCCCACAACCACCGGCTCATCCCTGTGCAGGAGCTGGAGGAGAAGGCGGTGGTCCTCAAGCAGCTGGGGGAGACGCTGACAGACCTCAAGGGTGAGGAGATGGTTGTGTCCCAGGGCTGGGTGGCCAGTGCAGCCTGTCTGCATCTCTCTGCTCCATCCCCAGGCGCGGGATGCTCCCGGTTGCCTGTTGCCTCTGGGTTTGTGTGTTTGCAGCAGCTGGTGTCTTCTCCAGCATCCCCAGGGAAGGTTCCCTGGTGCCTGTTGGTGTTGTGTGTGTCCTGCAGGTCTTGGCCTGTTGAGGGCATGAGGGCTGCACCCCATAATCCTGCTGCATGTCCCTGTTTGCTCTGCTAGTGTCCAAGTCCATTCTGAGGACTCTACCCAAGTCCTACCAACATCTCACAGTTGCTCGGAGCTGCTGCCTGCTCCTGTCCTGCAGGACCTTGCACTTGTCCAGTCCTGTGCATGCTGCCCTTGGTTTTGCTGCTCCTGCAACCAACCTGGCCTTGAACACTCCCAGGGAGGA